AACTTTGTTAGTGCCCTCTAGTGGTATTTAAAATCCCTTATTTTTAGTGGCACACTAAAGCATTATGGTCACAACCCAGGACACATCCATTATAAACCTCCTCGTAGATCTCAGTGATTCAGACACACTGAAGCATTGCATTTGAGTCATAATTATGAACCATTTAAAAATTGGGGATTTATTTTTTAATTATGAAAAATTCTGTGATAATAGTACCATGTCCAGTCTATATGTTACTAGCTGTTACCCATTATTTCATTATATTGGAATGAGGGCAAATAATCCTGTAGGCAAGCACAATATTTTAAAAGTTAGGAATTCTAACACATCTCAACTTTTAAATCTAATAGATTGATATGCTGCTGAAAGAATATTTACTCTCTGGAGACATATCTGAAGCTGAACATTGCCTTAAGGAACTGGAAGTACCTCATTTTCACCATGAGCTTGTATATGAAGTAAGATTACCTTGCCATGTCAAAGAGAATTATTAAGTGTTCCTTTTTGTACCATAGTGACTTATGCTTTTTAAATAATGTACATCCTTTTTTTAATATCAAAGGAGGAAGTGGTTTTTAAATTTTTACTATTACAAAAGGCATCTGATACATTTAGGAGCGGTTTCATATATAAATTAACCAAAAATTCACTCATTGATTCAATTTTTAGGCTGTTATAATGGTTTTAGAGTCAACTGGAGAAAGTACATTTAAGATGATGTTGGATTTATTAAAGTCCCTTTGGAAGTCTTCTACCATTACTGTAGACCAAATGAAAAGAGTAAGTATAACATTATTTTTGAACAACTTTTAGGATTATGCCTTAAATATATGATTGAATACAGATTATGAATTGTCAGTGACTTTTCTTTAGGTATGTTTAGTGTTATTATGCCTATATGATTTTTTCTTAATGGTAATGTTTGAGGTTTGAACCTTTTGCAACCATTTCTTGGAAAGTAACACTGCAGTGGGTTTTTTGTTTTTTTTTTTTAACCTACTTTGACAAATGTGATTATGTATTCTACCTCAAGGGTTCGGTTTCTAAGATGTGACAATTTCTATTTTATATCTAGCGAGAAACATGAACCTTTAACTTTTAACAAATTATAAAGTACTTTTTTCCTATTTAAAATTTTATGATTCTTGTTTTAAATGTTTGTGAGGTTTGTGTTTGGCCTGTATTTTTTGAAAGAACGTACTAAGTGTATATAGAGAAGTAGATGGGAAAGGAGTTTGCCCAATGTCTGGTGTCTGCCTACAGCTCTTTTAAGAGAACAGTATTTAAAAAAATTTTTTTAGCTATGTAACCAATTTTACTTATTTTTTAAATTTATATTTTAAATTTTAGATATCAGAGGGGTACATGTACAGGTTTGTTAGATGGGTATATTGAGTGATGCTGAGGTTTGGGCTTCTAATTAATGATCTTGTCCCTAAGGTAGTAAATACAGTACCTGATAGGTAGTTTTTCAACTCTTGTCCTCTTTCCCACCTCCCTACTTTTGAAATTCCCAGTGTTTATTGGTCCTATCTTCATGTCTGTGTGTACCCAATGTTTAGCTCCCACTTACAAGTGAGAACATGCATTATTTGGTTTTATGTTTGTGATAATTTTCTTAGGATAATGGCCTCCAGCTGCATCTACGTTGCTGCAGAGGACATGATTTTGTTCTTTTTTATGGCTATGTAGCATTCCATGGACGTATATGTACCACATTTTTCTTTGTCTAATCCACCATTGATGGGCACTTGGGTTGATTCCATGTCTTTGCTATTGTGAATAGTACCCGATAAGTATACAAATACAGGTGTCATTTTGGTAGAATGATTTATTTTCCTTTGGATATACACCCAGTAATGGGATTGTTGGGTTGAATGGTAATTCTATTTTGAGTTCTTTGAGAAATCTCCGAACCACTTTCTACGGGGGCTGAACTAATTTGCATTCCCACCAGCAGCATATAAACCTTCCCTTTTCTCCTCAACCTTGCCAGTGTCTGTTATTTCCTGACTCTAATAAAAGAGAGCAGTTGTAAAACACTGTAACAAATCTACTTTCTGTGCTTCTCACTATTCAAATCAGACTTCAGTTTAACCACTTGAACATTTGGCCTTAAATATAGATTGATGACATAGTGATGGATCGATTGTGTTTTATGACATATATTTTATATTGGCTAACAATTCTGTGTGTAATTTCATTGTTGTAGGGTTATGAGAGAATTTACAACGAAATTCCAGACATTAATCTGGATGTCCCACATTCGTACTCTGTGCTGGAGCGGTTTGTAGAAGAATGTTTTCAGTCTGGAATAATTTCCAAACAACTCAGAGATCTTTGTCCTTCAAGGTACTTTATTTAAATACTACTTTCTCAATATAAAATAGTGGATGAGGTCTTTGGGAAAGTTAAGTGCTAAGTTAGTTTATCATTCCCTGAAGTCACTGAAGAACATGACTCTTGTGAGTTCATGGAGAAAGAAGGGCGAAGCTTGTTTTAGCCCCCTTGTAAATCTGTACAGGACTGCCTCATGAAGTCCCAGTTCATTTGAAAGAAACTAATCTTGTGGAGCAGTTCCTTTGTTGTAAGTAGTTTCAGTGTTATTTTAGAGTAGGTATTATCAGTGATAAGATGAGAAAATTGAGGCTTAGGGAGGTATACTTTTTCTAAGGTCACATGGCTAGTACATGGTAGAAGCCAAGTATGAATCCAGGACTTTTCTGGCTTCAAAGATCTAGGCTCTTACCTGTACTGGACATGACTTCCTTGACTTTTTTACAGGTTGGAGAACTGGGTCTAATTGGATGTTCTCATTGGAAAGTGTGTGTGTTGGGGGGTGTGTGGAGGATGTTCTCACTGGAAAGTGTATGTGTGTGGGTGATTTTCCTTGGAGCTATTTTTTTGCTACTAGGATGTAACTCTTAAGGAGTTGCTAAGTTTTTTGTTGTTGTTAAAAGCTAATAATGAAGCTTATAATGTAATAATATAAATGTTTAGTAATAGCCAAACTTACTGCTTGTGTGGGTCAGTTTTATATAATCTTAAGTTCTTACAATTTTTTATCTAGAAAATTTCTTAAGCTTTGATATTTTTATTTAAGTGCATTGTAAGAATTAAAACTCAGAAAAATATTTCCTAGTAGGGGCTTTTGCTTTAGAATTTTAGAAGCCATTAAAGGAGAGGGAAAAGAAAGTGATGAAAGATAGTTTAATAGCTTTACTAGAAATATTTGGAAATATAGACATTAGTTTGGTGATGGCAGGATTTATGTATGGATGTGCCAAGTGGTATACATTAGTAAAAACTCTGAACTTTGGCAGGCCTTATTATTATTGACTGCTTCTTCATTCCCTACCTTGGTCTCAATACGTAGTCTGAAGCCTTTATGTTCAAGATGATGTAGCTGTTTTCCACTTAGACTTGATATGAAAAGGGGCCAGTACCCTGGCATTGACTTTTTGAAAGTTTTTCAGCCTCTGTTTGAAAGTCTGAATGTTTCTGTGTGGCTTTATTCTCAAGGGTCATGTGAGGCAATAAACTTTCTGTGTATACATACCATATAGCTTTGACTTGGGTCCTTTATCTTTTAGCCTATTTGGGTGAGGTGCACATTTGTGTGTGGTTTTGCATGCTTGTGCCTGTTGGCCTGGGGTCAGAGAGTAAGGGCTAATGTTGCCCAACTTCTATTTCCCACTTACTACTTTAGGCCACTGGCCAGCTGTTCCTTCTGGGCTATTGCCACTAGCTAGAGTGTGGTTACGTTATAGAGCTGGGCTTCTTGAGTTTGACAAAGCACAAATCCCAACATGGGCATAGGCTATGATTCTGATTTCTTTTTTCCACATTCAAGTTATGGCTTTTCTACAGTTGATAAAACTTTTTATTTTTTTTAATTGTCAAACATGGATATTTTGATAGGTTCCACAGCTCCAGTTTGCATAATTCTGAATTATGTTAGTGTTTCCTATTTGGCTCACTGTTAAGCTTACAAATAATAATTAGAAATAAATTTAAATTTCTAAATAAAATGCTTTAGTTTGAGTCAACTTTTTTTTAATATGACTGGATAGTGAACTTACTAAAACAAAAACTCAGATTTGATGTTGATGTTTTATGGTAAGATACATAGTAGGGAGTCTTTTCCAGAGGAATTAGAGGCATGCTTTTTTTTTTTAAATGGAAAACCCTTTAAAAGCTAACATGTAACAAAAAAATACCAAGTTTTTAATTTTTTTTGTTGACTATAGTCAGAATCTGTATCTGTTTTCATGTCTTTGTTTTTTTTCTTCATTACAGGGGCAGAAAGCGTTTTGTAAGCGAAGGAGATGGAGGTCGTCTTAAACCAGAGAGCTACTGAATATAAGAACTCTTGCAGTCTTAGATGTTTTAAAAATATGTATCTGAATTGTAAGAGTTGTTAGCACAAGTTTTTTTTTTTTTTTTTTGTTTTGGGTACAAGGCATTTCTGACATTTTATAAACCTACATTTAAGGGGAATTTTTAAAGGAAATGTTTTTTCTTTTTTTTTTTTTTTTTTTCGAGGGGGCAAAGGAGGGACAGAAAAGTAACCTCTTCTTAAGTGGAATATTCTAATAAGCTACCTTTTGTAAGTGCCATGTTTATGACCTAATCATTCCAAGTTTTGCATTGATGTCTGACTGCCACTCCTTTCTTTCAAGGACAGTGTTTTTTGTAGTAAAATCACTGGTTTATACAAAGCTTTATTTAGGGGGTAAAGTTAAGCTGCTAAAACCCCATGTTGGCTGCTGCTGTTGAGATACTGTGCTTTGGGAGTAAAAAAAGAAAGTTGTTTCTTTGTCTTAAAGAATTTTTTAAAAATTAGTCATGAGACTTATTCATCTTTCCAGGGAACATACTGATTGGTCTTAAAAGACTAGACAGTTAAGTAAATGGTGGCTGGAACATCTATTTTTCTACAAAACTGGAAAAATGAACCTGGTTCTAGAAGAATGTACACCAAAATAAAACATGTGAAGCAGTGTTGATTCTTTATTGGGAGTACATTATTTTAGGTCTCTTAAACTTTAATTTCACACAGTAAAGTTTAAATCTCATAAGGAAGCATATTTGAACCTAGTGAATTTAATCTTAGTGTTCCTTGAAAACTTTTTCCCTACAAAATTTCAAGTGAAAAGTACAATAGTAAATTAAGATTACACTGGGGAAAAAAATGCAGGTATCACTTTACTCCATTGTTATCTGACCTAGAGCTTAATTAAGTTTTAGAAATATGTTATACCTTCCATCATTCCATCATCCTTAAATTCTGTTACCAAATAATGGCTAGTGTTACAAAAAGTTATACTCCGAAGACTCAAAGCTTGACATTTACCCAATGTATGAGAAAATATTACCAATTAGTAACACAGAATTATCATATTTTTAACCTCTTTTACATAGCCTAATAACTCAGCAAGGCCTCAAGGTCTATGCTAATTTAAACTGCCAAATATTGACTGTAGCAAACAAGAATTATATTCAGAATTTATGAGGGTACTGTTAGGAGTATACTAATTACAGGTTTAGATACAGTCCGTTAGAATTAAAACCAAGTTTAATGTTCATATTTACCTCATGGGTTTTATCCAAGCCCATATTTCCTCGGCTTATATAAATACAGTTACCATTTTTAGGTTTTTTATTGTTTGACACTTGGATGATAAATGCAGTCATTTTATTCTCAAGTCCTTAATGTAATTAAAAGTTAGCTGCCCACAGAATAGGTGAGGGTTTCTTAAAAATGAGATTTAAGGGCTGGGGCGTGGTGGCTCACGCCTGTAATTCGAGCACTTTGGGAGGCCAAGGTGAGCAGATCACCTGAGGTTGCGAGTTTGTGACCAGCCTGACCAACATGGAGAAACCCCATCTCTACTAAAAATACAAAATTAGCCAGGCGTGGTGGTGCATGCCTGTAGTCCCAGCTACTTGGGAGGCTGTGGCAGGAGAACAGCTTGAACCTAGGAGGCGGAGGTTGCAGTGAGCTGAGATGGTGCCATTGCACTTGTTTGGGCAACAAGAGCGAAACTCTGTCTTAAAAAAAAAAAGAGGTTTAAGACAGTTTTGTTATTACTGGTAGGATCTGGTCACACAAGATAGCATTAAACGTGACACAGCACATAAAATTGGTTTAAAAATTTTGTTTTTTATGTAATGTAAAAGCTCATTGAACACTTTATGCAAGATTGGAATGTATCTTCAGATTTAATAAACATAAAGATCCTCTGTATATAAAAGTTGTATTTAGTCCCTTGTGCCCAAGAATGTTATCTATAAGAGATCCCAAGCAAGTTACCTATAAAAGATAGCAATAGCAATGGTGAACAAATAATGTAATTTGCAATTCTAAAAACATGACTTTTAAACCCCATAACACTTGGTTCATAGTTCAACTGTTTATGTTCAATACAAACCAGTGTGTTTATATTCATAATACAAATTCCATCAATCTTGGATATTTTTGTATTTATATGAATACTCTCAATTTTATTGATAGTATTAACACATACTACTTTCAGCACACAGAAGAGCATATTTTCTAGTTATTGTTAAATAGTAGATAATGTAGGTTGTTCCCTAAAGTGCTCAGTTATTCAGTGGGTTATTTGCTGTTGATCCTTTTCTGCCATTTCTTGTTGGCGAATTGTATTCTGTGCTGCTTGATGCATTTTCTCTAGTTTTTCCAGAGTCAGAGATTTTAAGGGTAAAAGTTTGGGTTTACACAGCACCATTGTGGTTATATCTTCCACAAACAATGGCCCTAAGTTTAAGAAGAAATAAGAATTAATTCAAGAAAGATAACCCAGTTGTTTGGTAGTTAGATTTGCAGCTAGAATGAAGGTCTAAAAAATTAATCTGTTGTCAGTGAAAAACTCTTGTACCTAAACTGAGTTTTGCTGTGGAACCAGAAAGATCATTGTTACTCTAAGCAGCATTTCTTACTACTAGGGTGTTTCTGAGGAAGACAAGTTTTGAGCTTTCTACCCAAGCTATGCTACCATAAGACACAACTTTTTGTGTCAGAAGTTTAATTTTAAAATAAGATTTGGCAGAATATATATACATAGTGCAAAAAATATAGCAAAGTATGATATTTAACATAAATATTCAAATAACTGAATGTTTAAACCTTTGGCTTTTCTTACTGTTGCTTTAGGTTTCTCTTTTTCCACTTTCAGACCTTATTTAACATTACAGTAAATTCCATTATTTCTTTCATTGAAGTTTCATATTGAGCCGGGCATGGTAGCTCATACCTGTAATCCCAGCACTTTGGGATGCCAAAGGGGTTGGATTGTTTGAGACCAGCCTAGGCAACACATTGAGATCCCATCTCTACAAAAATAAAAACAAATTAGCCAGGCATGGTAGCACATGCCTGGCTAGTACTAGCATTATCAGTAGGCTAGGGCAGGAGCCCAGTAGTTCAAGGCTGCAGTGAGCTATGATTGTGCCAACTGTACCCAAGCCTGGGTGACACAGTGAGAACCTGTTTCTTTAAAAAAAAAAATTCATATTGTAATTAGCAATTTTAGGAATTAATTAGCTAATTGGCAATTTTAGGTATAAGAAACAATGTTTTATTTGTTATCCTTTTACTGGATATCATGAAAAAGCATACAGTAAAAGTAGACAGTAAATGGGATAATACGGAACACAATAGCTATAGATGTTTAGCTGTTAAGCCTCCTATGTGACACTGCCTATCACTTGTTTAGTCCCTATAATAATGACTTCAATATTTGTGATGTACATACCTTGTTTTGGAAGAACTTCCCGGAACATTGACTTCAATTCTGCCATATCTGAGTTGTTGGATACAGTATTTTTTCCTTCAATGAGAAATCAGTATTATTCAAGAATAAATTCCCAAAGCAGATTGCCTGAGACATTTCCGTTGTAGTTTAAGAAGTAAAATCCAAATTCCTATAGAAAGTGAACTACCCTAACCTTGTATAATATTGCCATTAATTTCCTGTGACCTTGGGATAGTTCACATAAACATTACTAGGTATCTTAGTATCTTACTAGGTATCACATACTAAGGTATCTTAGTCTGATACCTTTTTCACATCCAAATCTGACCTGACAAAAACAATGAAACTTGGTGCTCTACCAAACCTCAGTTCTCTGTTTGACTAAGGTGCCATTGTTACTGTAAATGTCAACTTCCATTATTCAGTTGTGGTGTTAACTACAAGGCTAGGTGTTGCAATTTTTTTTCTCTCATAGTGAAAACTTGGAAGAGCTTCAGTTTTTAAGGCAAAGATGATTAATATCATCTGAGGAAAAGGCATTTGTGTGTAGCCAGCATGGTTCATTGATAGCATCTCCCCTGAATGGTGAGTGACAAAAAACATGACCACCATTTGAGACGGGGGGGTGAGGCAGGTAGGTAGGAAAAGGAGGAACTGGCAGGCTAACATAAGATTCCTACTTGTCTCAACAGCTGGTTTCTACTTTGTGCCTAACAAAAAGAATCCTATGGCTCACTGGCTACACAGCTGCAATTGATAATGAAGTAATACAATAGGTGAAACTGGCTCGTAAAGAACAGAAATAAGGTAGAGTTTCAGTTTACTATTTTCCTCTAATACTGAGATTCTATATGCGAAAGGACCAGCAATACTTAACTATGAGTATTTCTTATGAACATCCCAGCATATATGCCATTTTTGCCAGTGACATTTACTCCAAGTATTACAGCCAAGATTCTGCTATGCTGTGTTCAAGGTGTTTTGGACTAAGCTGTAGAATGATCCCTTTCCAAACACAGATGCTTTTCTAGACGGTCCCACCCACTCAAGTGATTCACCTTGCTGATGCAACCTTACCATGCATCTTTCACATCACCCCCGCAGATTTATTATTTATAAAGTGGTGAATCTGGCTTGGTGCCTGCCTTTACCAACCACTGCAAATTAATTATAATCAAGTGAAGCTTCTTCTGGTCTTTGTTATTCCCGCTCCACTATTTTGACATTCCTAATAAAAGCTTCCTACTCTGTATTCAAGTCTCTTCCTCTCTCTTGCTCAGATTCTTATTCTGGAACGTCTAAGTTCCTGAAAACCTCTATCTGCTTTCCAGAACTCTGTCATCAAACTTTACCCCTATACTGCTCTAGCTGGGAGAGATGATGAAATAAGTAATGGACCAAGAATAAAGCAACTCATCACTAAATGGAATGTGAAGTAAATAAATATACAATTTCCTTAGCCTGCACAGCTTCTCCTACAATATTCTTTTCTTTTTAGGCCTGCCAGTGGTACCTAGTGATCACTGCCTTTTTTTTTTTTCCTCCAGGTTAGGATGAAGGTTACTAGCATTGCAGACCCCCTGATTAGCCTTGAATTAAAGTATCAAAAATACCACCTAGCCTCTCCATTAAATATATCACAGTGAAAATATTCATTATGATCACGTTTCCTTATTTGAAGCAAACCTGACATGATATGCCACTGAAAGGGAGGACATTATAGATGTTGATAAATGTGAAGGAAATACATAGGAGCTAAGGAGTTTTATATGTATCACCAAAATGCTAAAGTGGTAGATGAACAACTCTTAGCTGTTATATAGCGTAAGCAACTCCAGCTACTCCGAATTGTCACTATCCTTTGTTTTCTCTTAGTCTGATACCTTTTTCACATCCAAAATCTGACCTGACAAAAACAATGAAACTTGGTGCTCTACCAAACCTCAGTTCTCTGTTTGACTAAGGTGCCATTGTTACTGTAAATGGTGTGGAGCCAAAGGGATGGTAGGGAGTGGGTTGTGCCTAGTGTGGGGCAGATCAGTGCCAGTCACTTGCCTGGATAGAATGTCTGTTTTAATAGGGTTGGTTCTTGTTTCTAGGCCCCCTTAGGCATTGGCAGGAAAGAAACAGGAAGGGAAGGGCTAAAATAAGCAAGGTGGTGGTTGGATGGCCAGCACTGGCTGGGCTCTACTTTGATAATCAACTGCCCTGGGAGTCCAGAGTAGGAAGGAGTACAGTCATGTGTTTCTTAATGATGGGATATGTTCTGAGAAATGCATCATTAGGTGGTTCTGTCATGGTGCAAACATCCTAAGAGTGTACTTACACAAATCTAGATGGTATAGCCTAACATAAATCTAGGCTATATGGTACAGTCTACTGGGCCTAGGCTATAAATGTGTACATGTTACTGTACTGAATACAGTAGGCAATTGTAACACAATGGTAAGTATTTGTGTATCAACATAGAAAAAGTAAAGTGTTCTGCCATAATATCATGAGCATTACAATGGGTATGACATCATTAGGCAACAGGAATTTTTCAGCTTCATTATAATCTTATAGAACCACTGTTGTATATGCAGCCTATTGTTGACTACATGTTGCTATACAGACAGTATTTCCTTCTCCCACACGGCCTGCTAATAGCCAGACATGGGTAATTTTCTTAGAGTAATGCACTCCAAGCAGTTGTGGCTACTTTTAAGAGAACTTTCTTGTCAGGTGAGATGTATTTAAACCAGGGACAGATGGGCCAAAGGAGAAACATAACAGCTATGGCTGAAATTCACGTGTATTCTACAACTGCCATGGCCATTTAATTCAATAAATATGTGAGTTTTTTAAATCATATGCCAAGCATTGTTCATAATGAACAGGACAAAAACTCAAAACTTTGCCTTTTTGGAGCCTACAGTCTAGAGTAAGAAGAGAGAAACAACAGCATGCCAGAAGGTCTACAGAAAATAGTGTAAAGGGGATTAAGGAATGCTGAGGGGGGTGGTGGTTCAGTTTTAAGAGGAAAATTATGATGACCTCATTAAGAAGGTGACATTTAAACAAAGACTGCTTTTATGTGTATGACTGCATGTGTAATGTATTTTTAAACAGCAAAAAGTTAAAAGTCTGATAGTATCCACAGGTAGGGACGGTATAGGGAAATTAGCACTGTTAAGCTTTTTTAGAGGGATTTTGCAGTACTATAACTACTAAAACTAAATATGCATATTTTCTTTGACATGGTAATTGGCTGTAAAGAAACAACACAAATGTAAAAAAGAATGTTCATTAAAGCATCGTGTTGAATAGCAAAATGTTCAGCAATAGATAAAGCTAACTAAATGTTCACCAGCAGATCAAAGGTTAAATAAATCATGGAACATCCATAGAACGGAATACTATGCCAAATTAAAAAATGATGCAGATTGTCAAGGCATATTTTAAGAGAAAACATTAAATTACAGAAAATGAAATTTTTCTTACATTAATAGAACCAAACTTACAATGCTCACAGAATACAGTGTCAATTCATCATTTTTTGAAGGCCTTGGTCTAGGTAAATGGAAAATAATCTGCTGCTTCCTTTACTTACGTAGATTCTAAAGTTTGTAATTTCTCCCAGAGATAATAGTTTTGATGAACAGTGTATTCCAAAATCATGATAAGGTATGCAAACCTGTTGTAGCTATTTGGGCTGGATGTCTAAAATTAATGCTGAAAAACTTGAAGGAAAACCAAATCTTTGTTATGAAATATTTTACTCTGCTGTAGGAGTGAGAGTTAAAAGGCATGTCTAGGATGGATTATTGCCTTCAAATCAATCATACACATTTGGCAAGTTAAAAATCCCTGGTGCGGGGGCTGGGCGCGGTGGCTCACACCTGTAATCCCAGCACTTTGGGAGGCCGAGGCAGGCGGATCATGAGGTCAGGAGATCGAGACCATCCTGGCTAACACAGTGAAACCCTGTCTCTACCAAAAATACAAAAAATTTGCCGGGTGTGGTGGCGGGTACCTGTAGTCCCAGCTACTCGGGAGGCTAAGGCAGGAGAATGGCGTGAACCCGGGAGGTGGAGCCTGCAGTGAGCCGAGATTGCGCCCCTGCACTCCAGCCTGGGCGACAGAGTGAGACTCCGTCTCAAAAAAAAAAAAAAAAAAAAAAAAAAATCCCTGGTGTGATTTAGCTGGATAACCAAACTAAATAATGGGTGTGAGACCAGACTAGATCACTGAAGTTTCCTTCTGAACCTGGAGAATATATTATCAGTGGTCTTCAAATTTTCTACTTGCATACTCCCAAAGAGATTTGAGAAAACTAGGCATCACTTCATACACTGATATTTAAATTTATTATCATAAATTTAAATTATAAAGGATATAATTTCCAGCATATTTAAAAATAACTGTTACCTCAGTCTTTTAAAAACATCCAATATAATCTAAACGTAACAGCAATTTGATAGCTACCATCATCCATTAATAAAAAGAAGCTAATTTATAAGTTAGAAGTTTTATATCATCTTTTTTTCTTCCTGGACCTCTATTTCCAACCCACTTTATTCTAGTGCAACATATTTTCATGCCCTTTTTTTTTTTTTTTTGAGATGGAGTCTCGCTCTGTCGCCCAGGCTGGAGTGCGGTGGCGCGATCTCGGCTCACTGCAGGCTCTGCCTCCCGGGTTCACGCCATTCTCCTGCCTCAGCCTCCCGAGTAGCTGGGACTACAGGTACTCACCACCACGCCCGGCTAATTTGTTTTTTGTATTTCTAGTAGAGGCGGGGTTTCACCGTGTTAGCCAGGATGGTCTTGATCTCCTGACCTTGTGATCCACCTGCCACGGCCTCCCGAAGTGCTGGGATTACAGGTGTGAGCCACTGCGCCCGGCCTCATGCCTGATATTTTAATGATCATCCTATCATACCTCTTTGCTACAAAAATGTTTATAAACTTTAAAATATTTTGGATTCAGTTATTACAATTGGTACGAAATTGGTCAAAATGCACTACACATTGATAAAGCAATTGTTGAACATAAAAATAAAGTTATTGGCCATGTATGTTAATAAGAACATAGC